CAGGCTACTCTGCTAAGTGCTCCAAAGGTTGCAACTCTGGGTTTGGGGCAGGGAGGACGTTAGGAAGAGCAAGAGATAGGGAGTAAAATCTATATTTGCGCCCTACCTCTTTCACCTACCTCACCTACCACCTTGTGCCCTGGGATATATCATCCCGCCCCCACGAAATGCCTTTCACTTTTGGAAATGGCATGTTTCCAAACAAGCTAGTTGTGAGGGTTAAATGAAATAAACGAAGGGAACAGAGTGTCTTTTGATAGCAGCTTACACGGTGATTACAAGCATTTGGCAAAATGTTTTGCAGATGCCCCCTTATCTAATTCTCAGAATAACTATGCTAACTACTATCAGTAGGCTGACAGTAAAAGTGCATTGCTCTCCGGTCGCCTGCAGCCCCCGCATCCGGCCTCACCCAGCACCTTCTCGTTACCAGGGCTCAGCCCCACTGCACCGCGGGGGCCGCCGGCGCCAACCCCGCACGCAAACGGGGCTGGGGGAAGGGAGGGCCCGCCTGGAGGTCCCCGGGACATGCGCCTCCCGTGCCCCAGACATCAGCCTACCTAACCCGCAGGGTCCCAGTGCTCTCACTCCAGGTCCACAGCCTCTGCTCCCGCACAGACCCAGGGACGCTGAGATCGCATCTACCTCTGCAGGGAGAGATCTGACGGGAGGAGGCGTTATTGATGTGCACACGCGCAGAGCGACCGCCGAAGACCCGTTCCCAGAGGGCTGCGCGGTAGGCCCGCACTTTGAAAACTACATTTTCCATGAAATCTTGAGACCGCAGGAAGTAATTTTGTAAGCGTTTCCGCTTCGTTAGGCAGTGGGAAACGTGACAATTGGACTGACCTCTGAAACGTTTGCTTGGATCCTCATAGGTTTGGGGTTAGACTTTCAGTCTGAGACCTAATTGCAAAGCGTGGTTCTTAACCGAATCCTGGTTGGAAAAACAACAGCTGAAGAGACAACAATATGGGAAACATGAATATGAACTAGATATTAGAAATATTATGGAAAATTAACCATTACCTTGGAACGTGCAATAATTGGACGATGTAGTGAATTGTTATTTTTTAAAAATATATCCTGATATGTTTACAATTAAGAAATCATGTGTTTGTAATTTACTTTTTAAAAATTAAGCAAAACAATTAGGGAAAGCAAATACGGCAACAGATTAAGAATCATTAAATCTATGTAATGTGTGTATATGATACTTATTTTACTATTTCTACTATTTGGAGTGTTCGAATTTCTTTTTAATACACAGTAAAAAAAACTTGGCATGTGGAGGGATGGAGGGATGGAGAGAGGTTAGGGAGTTTATTGCCCCTCCATAAGTGTACCTTTTAAAAATCAAGCTGCCAAGAGAAGTAAAGGTACAACTATCTCTTTCACAGATGTGAATTCGAACAGATACTACAAAATGGTGCCAGCATTAACATAAAAGTGTAACATCTGTAACCAGCAAGGTGGTAGTGGGGAGGCAATAATCTAGCTGTTCAGATTACACAAGTAATACATGAAAACACACACAATCCCAAAGAGAGAAAATTATCATTGTATTAATTTTGCATTTCCAAGGTAAACCTTCCTTGAAACTTAATGTGTGTGCACATCAAATTAGAGATATATGGACAAAATAGCATAAGTTTTCTTTCTAGGAGACTTTTTTACAGCAGTTTTAAATTGAAGCAGAAAGCTCAGAGTCCTCATATACGCCACATCTCTCATCACCCCAGTGGTATATTTTGTACAATTAAAAAATGATACATTATTACTAGCTAAAGTCCAAACTATTGTTTACATTAGCAGTCACTCTGTGTTATACAGTTGAATGGGTTTTACCTAATGCGTAATATCATCTGGTATAATGTNGACACTAACAGAAATGTTCCAGATGAAAAAGAGTGAGAAGTAGAGGCAAGTGATACAGAAAAGTCAAGTAAGGAAAGGATTAGACAAGACCCAATGCATTTGATTATAATCAAGACTCTGATAACAAGACAACAGGCAAATGGGGACAGAAACCAAGGAATCATGCAGAAGTTTGAAGTATGAATGAGAAATGTTGAAATATCTGAAAGAGGATAGAATTCTAAACTATCTCCTGAGCAACCTGAATATTATAGGTACTCAAAATATTTATGCAGGGTAATTTTAAGGCTATTCAGTTAATTCATCAGAAAAATGTCTTAATTCAACCATGCTTGAGTTCCTGAAAAACAGTATTGATATTTGGCATTAAATCTTCTATTTTTATTGCAGAACAAGTAGAGGCAAATTTCTATATTATTTTAGGGTTATTACTGGAAAGTTAACGAAATCACCTACTTAAAATTAACAGATTTTTTTTCTCTTCAATTGTCTTTACATTCTATAAGGAAATGGTGTGCTTTATCTTCTCACCATCAGTCTCTAAAGACGTATTTTCTGACACTGACACGGACATTAAAAATCTCAGAAATAAATTTGAGCTCCAATTTGGTAAATTTGTAGGACCACAAAATTTGCATATATCCACATGCTACCTTGGCTCTGCTGTTCATCTCTATTTCTACAAATTCTCTGAATACATCTGATCTTTTTCTGTTTCTACTTTTCCATGTTAACAAAGAGTCACTTTAAGCCTTTATAAAATACACTGTAAAATAAATAGGGCACTAAAAATTGAACTCACCCGAGCTATGTTCATTTTCTGCAGCTGCTGGAAGAAGGTAAAAAACTGTGAAGGTTCCACTGGGGAGGAGGAAAGAGAAATGGGTCATGAGAAACCTGGTCTTCCTTACAACTTCTATATTCACCTGCCTACAAATCTCATAATACCAACTAGAGGTATTACCCACAGGGAAGCTTTTTAGACGTTCTTGAGAAGGAACAGGAAGAAACACACAGAGGGAGTACCACCTGCTCATGTGCAGCTCTGATATGATTATGTGGGCTTCACCTTGCATTTTCACCAAATGAGGTAAACTGCTTTTTGTCAAGGAATTCACAATTAATGCCTCCTTCTGACTAATTAAAAAAAAATTTAAATATGTAAGTAAAACAGAGGATTGGTTAAACAAATTCAGGTCCACCAGAGGTCCCTCTACCTTCATTAAAACTAATGGCAAAAAAACAACACTGGCTGGATTGATAATCAACTTCTTACTATCTTTACACTTTGAGTTAGTTTCCCCAGAAAACTGAAATAAAGATGGGATACTTTATGCAAAATACATATTTTTCACTTTTTGTTCTAAACTGGTTGCAGTTTCTAAAAGACATCTTTTGATAAGATAGTACTTACCTGTGTTAGTAAACAGCCCTGTGCTGCTCATTTGGTTCTGCCCTGGGTGACACTACAAAATCATTCATTTCAGACCCAATATTTTCAGGCTTCCAAAAGTGTCCAACATAGAAAACCCTTCTTCTACTACCAGTCTGTTAACTCAGTGTTCAGGAAAGGGAGCATCAGCATAACTCTAGATATCACATGAAGGTATGGACATGCTGTGAGAGCAGCTTAGAATCTGGAAAGAGTGAGGGCAGAACACAGGAAACATGTGCTCTTTAGGATTTCGTCAACTCTGGCTGCTTACACCTTCCCTGGACATCAGTCATCACCAGCCATCCAGTCAGGTGCCTTTTCCTGTGCAGCCTGACAGTCTCCCATCCCATCAGTCCAGCTCACCACCTTCTGCCAGTTGGTCCAGAGTATCCACCGTCACACAGTCTGTGATGGCTTCTGCGTGTGGTGATATCCCCAAGTCTGACTCAGGCTATCCAGGGATCAAGAACTGCTTCTAGTGGAGCAAATCAGGACCTGCTCCTATCTAGGCACATCTGCATCTACTCTAAAGCTCTGGTGAGGGGTCTGTTAGAAGAGCTGTTTCCCCAAGTGGCAGCTATTCCTGGGGCTCCTCCCTCTTCCTGACTTAAAAGAATTATTATTCTCCAGAGGGGCTGGGACCTGAGCCTGAGAAACAAATTCACTTCATTTGAAACCTTCGTCTGACACTCTAAACCTGACCCTTTTGGAATTCACTAGAAATGGACTATCCCGTCCTGTACCCGTTACCTGCATGCAGCTAGCTACTCCACCGAAAGTATGGCTAGTGCCACTTGCCAAAACAGTATTTTGAATGTACT